AGACTTGATTTTTCAACAAATTGTTTGTTTTTTTTTTTTTTTAATACTTATAGTCAGGCCAGTACTGTGTGTTTATTAATCATTAAGAAAACTGATAGAGATACATAAGGCAATTGCATCATGGCTAAACTAAAAGACTCGTATTGACACACTTATCAATGGCTTACAATTCCCAAAAGAGCTTCAGTCTCTAAGTGCAACCTTGGGGACAATATTTCATTCTGAACTAAGTTTTGGATGAAGACCCTCCTAACTTACCCATCATTGTCAGTAAGTTGTCACTGCTTATTATCCTTCAAGGAACTGAATTTGAGAAACCACAAAAGGGAAAAATAAAAATAAAAAGAAAGGGTATATCTAAAAATGTACAAGTGCGTTACATGAAAATGAAAAGAAAAAAGAAAATTAAAATGCTTCTTGTCCACCAAAGAACCTCTGCTAGAAACCTCTTCTCATTAGGAGTCAACTATTCTGGGATATTATTCTTCTTTCTAACTATCTGAGGAACTTATTCATCTGTATTCTTGATTATTTTCTTGCAACTGTCTGAGATACTTATCACCTATTTGAATCCAGTGTCTTGTCAATACTTCCTTTCTTTTGATCTTGATTTTGTAACTACTCATGTAGAAAAAGATGACTAATGGTAAATCCCAGGTTCTTATGTGGCTTTTCAGTCTTATTGAGTAACTCCCAATATCTTCCAGTAGCCATGCCTAGTTAAAGGAATATTACTGATATTTATCTTGATTGCGATATCATTACTCAACATCTGGAGAAATGCATTTTCAATCCTAGAGAAGAGTAGTGTTTTACATTCCTTTGTTTTTCGGTCTTACAGCCAGACCAGGATAAGAAAATAACCTTCTTTGTATACTTTGCCTGACCAGGATGATAAGAAGTTTAAGGCCTCAACTTGAACAAATAATTACCTTTTTACCACCTAGGGAATTTATACCCATTCTAATGGCCTCATAGTTTTTTTGCTTCAGTTAAACTTCATTTGGAGAAGTGGAGGAATTCATATTTTTGATTTCTCTTTCAATCACCAATTACATCATCGGAACATGTGAGGTGGCCAATAGAAACTTGTTTATATTCAGCTACTAATGTTTTTCATATCAACCAATCAGATGCCAAGTGATGTTGTGCTACCAAAAATTTAGGGTCAAACTGAGATAGGCAAAATCCCCCAAGAAAACCATGAAAAATAGTAAACACTATAAGAGGGTATAAGATAGTATGTGAGAAGGTGGAAAATAAGCCTTCTCCTGCTAACAAAACCTCTATATCTTGTCACTTCCAGCTCTGTAAGGTGACACTTCACTTGTTAGTCCTTTTACTTCCTAGAACTTTCTTGCCTTTAGTAGAGGAAATGTGTACTTGAGTCTTTTTAGGCCACTAGAGGCTTAAGTTTTTATTCAAAGAAGTTTATAAATAAGTAAGGGAGGATAGAAGAGATACATAAAGACAAGCTTTAAGTTGTTTTAATGAAAGTGTAAAGACTTTATTAGCAAAGAAGTATAAAACTTCTTGCGAACATCTTTTTTGTATGTGGTTAGAAGATCAATCTTCAACAAATTGTTTGTTATTATTCTTATTAGTAATAATATATAATTATTTCTAGTTAATATTTTATCTAAGATATTTTTAAAATCATATATATTGTTCAAACTAATTTCTGATTATAATCAAATATAGTTAATTCTATTATAGAATGTGTTAGTTGCCCTTGTGAAAGTATTGTTTTCTTATTTTCAAAAGTTTAAATATTCATATAATTCTAATTTTCTAAAAAGTTAAAAAGATTTATTTTGGATTTTTTATATTTTGAAATCTTTTTATTTATAATTGATTAGTCTGCTATTGAATTAATAATAGTATTGAAATCTTCTATTATTATAATTTTGAATCACTTTTTTTATTTATTTAGAACATTTTTTTGAAGTATCTGTTTTAATTATCTACTTTTTATTTTTTCTAATAGAAAATAAACTTGATAAATATAAAATTTGCTTCTTATTGATAGAAAATTGATTTCTATTATATAATCTTCTATTCTTTTAATGGATTCAAGCTTTTTAGTTGCAAACATTTCTGAAACATTCTTTTCAATTATCAATGATATTATAAAAATATGTAAATATGACTAATATAAGCTTGTTTATATTTTAAAAACTAATATATTTGTGTCAATCAATCACCTTTGATGAGAATTTGTATTATCAAAAATTCAAAATCAAATTGAGGTAAGCAAACTTCTTTAGAAAACTATGAAAGTAAAAGTTTTAAGAGGACTAAAACAGTTTAAAAAGAAGAAAGTAAACCTTTTAACTGTAACAAGATTTCTGTAAATCTCTTGCTTTAAAGGTTAAAAAGATCTTTAGGTACTTCACAATCAATTCTTCTTTCTTTGAAAACTTTTTTGCTATTGATATCAAAGGTATTACTTGACTTTTCTTAATTACTGAAAATCAAGTTTTTGGATGAAAAGGCTTATAAACAATAGAATAAGAATAATAATTACTTTTGAAGTTGGACTTCAAGTTGTTTTATGAAAAGTGTTAAAACTTTTTTAGTAAATAAGTAAAAAAACTTCTTATGAATATCTTTTTTGTGTATGATTAGAGTATTGATTAACAAAAAGAGTTTTTTGTTAAATTTTAATATATTTTGTTATAAATTTTTTGATATAGTATTAATATTTATAATATATTTGATTTATAATTTTTTATTAAATTTTTTATCATCACATACAAATTTTTTGTTGAATTTTATTTATCAATTTTTTATTAAAATATTATTAATATTTTATATATTGAATAATATCAATTAAAAAATATTTAATTAAATTTAGCTTTAATTTAATTATCAATTTTAACTAACAAATATAATAGTTTTTTTTTTTTTAATAGGGATTATAAAAACCCAGTTTTATTGAGATTGTAGTAATGAATTGATGAGGTATATTGAAATTATAGACTATAGTAAAGGTTATATTACTCAGGAATTATAACTTGATCTTGGTGACAACTAACTGTTACAATAAACCTATTTGTTATAGTTTTTCATGTGACCCATATGACATGTTACCAGAAAAAGCCCTACTACCTACTTTACTTATGTTCTAGCCTTTGTCATATATAATTGCCCATCGACTAGCTCAAACCTGAGATCCCTTTTATATTTTGTCCTACTGAATACTCTTTTTACACTATCTATTATAGTATACCTATAGAATATTCATATAGAGTCTTAGATATCGTTTTGTTCTATTTGAGTACCCTTTTTATATAATCTATTACAGCCTGTCCATGGAATAACCGCATTAAGTCTTGGATGGATTATTCAATTTAATAGAAACCCTTTTCTTTTGCTAATGTACCTAGATATCATTAGTTCCTAAATTTTTATAGCAAGCAGATCTTTGGTCTATCTGCAGGAACTTGTTGGAACCTATCTTATGATGAGACAACTTCAGTACTAAAATTGACCAAAGCATCTTGTGATCTTTGTTTATCCCATGATCAGATGGGATCTTGGTCACAGGTGGCAGTAATCATTATCATGAGATAGATAAGATCTTTCTGTATCACTTAGGCTTAGGTGATACTGTCTTGTAGTAGTATTGAACTCAGAAACAACACTTGATGACCTAGAAGCACTATCACTGTGCTATTAATCCACAGATTTAAATATAGTAGTAACTTGAAAGATATAATAAATAATTTATATATTTATAAAAAGTTTTTCTATTTCAAAATAGATAAGTTTTTCAAATAATTAAAAACAAAATGAATATTCAAATTAAGTATCTTTTTAAGAGAAGATTAAAGTTATAATAAAAAATCTTTTAATAAAGTTTTGAATTGTTATTTTATTTTCCTTTTTGTTTTCTTTTTGATTATATATGTATTTTAACTTTTTTTTTTCCCTTCTTTTATATAGTTTAATTTAGCAATTTATTAATTTCAAAATAATTTGTAGTAACAAGCTATTGATAAAGATAGATCCTTAAAATATTTAATATATAAAATTTCACAGATCACTTATGTCTCTTTTTGAGGATCAAAATTTATAACTCTTCATTTTAGTAAAGACAAAATTCAAGAAATGTTATAAATCAAAGGTTTTGACAATAGAAAATTATCCTGTGTAGTTTTTTTATAATCATTAATTTAAAAATTTTAATGTTTTCTAATAAGGGACATTTGACTTTTGTTTTTGCCTTCTTTTTGAGAACCCATCTTCATGATCTATTATTATTATGCAAATCTCTACAGTTCCCTAAATATAATTTAAAATACCTAGTTGAGACTTTATTTTATTTAATCCAAACTAGCTCTTATACTGTATATAATCCTTTAGCTAATAATGTACAATAATAAGTTAGTTGTCATGTGATAAGTCTTAATATCCTGTAATATTATTAATCTTTCGATAAATAAAGGTGAAAAACTGTGATGGCATGATTGCGGGTTAAAAATATATACAGTATACTGTATATATCTTAGTTAAGCGTTCATAATCTTTGATCTTTATTATTCTAATATTCAAAAAATTTAATGATACAAAATTATGATCAGGATTATTGAACGCATGTAACTTTCGATTAAGTGACTGTTTAATACGCGATCAGGGACCACGAGGTGAGCTTGATTAGATACTTTCGATTATATTCTAGACCCTTCAAGTAGGTCTTGGCGTGTAGTTGATGGGTTACTTCTAAAACGTTCGTGCTCGAAATTTCATTTCAACCGGTATCTTCATTCCCGGCTTGACCCATTGCATAAATCTGGGTATACATCCGCACCAGGGATTCATACCCCATAATGTCACCACATCTAAGTAGATTTGCTATAAGAAATGAAGTAGGAAGAATAATTCGTGTAGACAGGTAAAAAGAGTAAGTATTGGTGTACACGGATTGCCTACTATTGATATTCTTACCCGCGTCGCAATTCAACGGACTGGTCGGTTCTGGATTCGACAAAAGTAACCTAATTGCCATGCAAGCAGATTGCAAAGTCCATGCAGGGCTCCACGCCGTCTTCAAAATATCCAGGCATATTTCTCCTGTCTAGAAAAAATAAAGTTGTTCGAGTTGTCCAGGTAATTCATCGTCCAATATACTGCTCACCTTGAAAGATACGTTGGGATGACAAATCTTCGTTATGAATTTGATTTTGGGGGGATGAATTGGATACGATTTTGGTATTTCTATATGCAAGGTCCAGCAACCTCCTGATGTTAAAAGTTAGGCGGTTAAAAAATTTTAATACTGTGTCCTCTTGACAACAACAGATCAGTAAGCCTCGATGCCCATCTAGTAGTCAGTTAAGATTGATACCTTCATAAGGTGTGTCAACTTCACCCCGCAATTCTGCTTTCCAAATTAAAATATTATCTTCTTGTATTGGCGAAAGTTCAGCTAGATCAGGATTTGGCTCTTTTTGATAATCTCTGAGTTCTTTAAGTAGCCTTCGAGAAACTGCGCCTACCATCGTTCAAAAAGTGAATCAGTGCGCGCGTACAAATACCTCCCTATTTATTTAAAAACTTTGTGTCACGATTTAATTTACTTATGTAAATCTGGTTGTAACACATGCAGAAAAAAATGTCTTCATTGTCGTTATTATTCGTGCCTCGGAATCGTAAAGTAGAATTTGAAATCGAAATTATAATTCACGAGCTAACCAACGTTCCCTTAGTGACTGGCCTCTATTACGTAAAATGGAAGTTAAGGAATAGTGAGAGGCCGCAAGGCATGACGGAGAGGTAGTAGAAAAAAGGAAAAAAGTTTCTACTCGTTTTCGGCCGCACCCAAAACTTAAACATTGGTTTTCTTGACAGGATAATGATAAAAGATCACCGTGTTCTTTGGAATTACAAACTACACAATACGACGCAGCTCGTCATCGGGAAGGATGGATTTTTGATGCCGTGTGAATTGCGATTCTCAATAAAACAGGTATATTGACATCTCGTCTTTGCACCAATTGCATAACTTTTACCTTACAGCTAATTTGGATTCCTTGCGTCACCGATAGGAATTAAATGGAGGCAAAGAAATAAATAGCATTGGAAAGGTATCGCTCAACATATCAGAGTACGTCGGACTCAATGCTATGATTCGACGATATCTACTTCAAGATAGTAAGATTAATTCGACCCTTAAAGTATGGTAAAACCTTCATTGCCTCATTTCACTTTCTTACTCATTTGAATCTAATATGGTCCGAACGCAATACTCACTTTTTTAGTTAACGATTAATATGAAGCAGACATTTGGAGGTGTATTCTTCAAAGTGTAGGTTCGCTACGCGTGTTTTCAAATTGTTCGACGTCGAGATTTGCTAATACTCGGCAATAATCTAGACCGACTCTCAAGAAAACACAAATCTTTGGAGGACTCACGGGAATAATATCGGAACAAACGGAACGACAGGACGACGAAAGAACAGGTTAGTTCTGATGTTCTTGGTTCTTTAGATTTGTTTTTCGTTGATACATTTGTTCTTAAATGTTAATGTTATTTAGCTCGGGGATTGAGATCAGATTTTGGGCAGCATTACATGGCATTTTCCCGATCTACGACCTCGCTGGTTGGTGTAATCCTTTGTTTTTTTTAAACTTTGTTCGTTCGCAAGTCAATCGTTAATTACTTTCTGAAAATCAGAGATATGCACCATCGACCCACACAACTCCAATAACCTCGTCTTTGATAACGAATTCTTTCTTTCAAAAAGTCGGTGAAAAATCGGCAACCGATGTTGTAGAAGAGATATTCATGGGGACCTTGATAATGCACGAAGATGATGATTATGATGGGTCATCGGTTGACACAAATTCCATTTAAGTTTAGTCGCGTAGCCAGGAACTAAAAACGATTTACGGGAGAGTTTCATACTGATTTCACATTATCCATTATTATATCATTCTATTATACATTCATAACGCACTTAAACACCTTTTATATAATAGCACTACAATTAACATGTACCAATAATTCACCAATTAGAGTTTTAGATTTCACACCATAATAAATGTGAAGATTTCTACGTTTGAATCGGGATTTACGATGTTTTCCTTTCGGTTACAATGAATGATCTCTGGAAAGCCTTGCCCTGCTTCCCACTATTCCAATCTCGATCCGTATTAAAAAAAAAAAAAAATAATAATAATAGTAACATTGGCGTCTATAAAAATTATTTTTGAAAATGGAGATCTCGTTTCTATTTTTTCCCACTTTTAAATAATTCATCTTGAACTTTTATTGAGGAACTAATTGGCCCGAGGTAGTGCCGAGTAATCACGCATACTTCATCTCACTCTCGTTAAATCCAATAGTGGGAAACCCCTTAGTAAATCCAATCACTTGCTGCTTTAATTCATTAATCGAAGGCTCTTTAAATCCGTCCTTCCCCATATAATCCTTGAAATCTTTCAATTTCGTTCCTATTTGAATAAAATGAAATCTTAAGATTTGACTCACATATCTCATGGATTCTATTAAATAAAACTTACCAGGAACTTTCTTGTTGATATCGATGGCCATCTCCACGGCCTGGTGAATGAATTCAACCACCTTTTCAAAGTCCGACTCGGCAAAGCCGCGAGTTGTCATTGCAGGTGTGCCAACGCGAATTCCACCAGGAATTAACGCGCTCACATCGCCAGGAACGGTGTTTTTATTTACCGCAATGTTTGCTAACTCAAGGATGCGTTCAACGCGAGCGCCGTCAATCTTCTGTTGGAAAATCGATAAAAGTGCGTTGACTCACGGGTCAAATAGTATGTTGACAATACGAGATTCCAAAAATGAACACACCTTAGGTCTTAAATCCACAAGTAACAAATGATTATCCGTACCGCCCGAAACTAGCTTATATCCTTTGCTCTTGAATGCCTCGGCAAACGCGAAACTATTTTTAAGTACTTTCCCCTGGTATTCCTTAAATGCCGACGTCTCGGTTTGCTTAAGTGCTACAGCAAGAGCTGTGATGGTATGATTGTGTGGACCTCCCTGATGACCGGGGAAGACGGATTGATTGATGGGATTTTCGAGATCGTACAAGATATCTTTTTAATCATTTGGATATGGAACATATATACTTCTCGAGTTATAACAAATGAAGAAACGCATTAACGTTGCTTGAAAAGGATACTTAAACGCGACTACGCATTTGTGTAGTTTACTCACCCCTGCCTTTCTTGTCGACTTTTCTAACACCCTTCCTGAAGAATATTAGAGCACCGCGCGGACCCCGAAGGGATTTGTGCGTCGTGGTGGTAACAATATCGGCAAACTCAAATGGCGAAGGCAAAACGCCGGCCGAAATTAATCCTGAAACATAACATTTATCAGGTTAAGGGGTGCTTTTTCTTTTTTAAAAAAAAAAAAAAAAAATACACACGTATATATAATTATTTATTTACCACTTATGTGTGCAATATCAGCCATCAGGTACGCGTTTACCTTTTCGGCAATCATCTTCATGCGTGCGTAGTCATAATTCCTCGGATATGCACTGGCGCCAGCAATTATAATTTTTGGTCGGTATAAAATCGCGTTCTTTTCCAGAGCATCATAATCTATTATACCCGTTTCCTCGTTCAATCGGTAAGGAAACGTTTCAAAGTAAACGGAGACTGCGGACACTTTCCTGGAACCTGTTTGGTAGCCATGAGACAAGCTAACTCGAAAAGGAAATCAAAAAGAGAATTTGCGTCACATATTGATTGAATCTTCCACCAATCATATAAATTTCCAACTTCACTTACTGCCCACCATGTGGTAAATCCAGTCCCATCAATCTCTCATGTGGCCTGAGTATCGCGTTGTACACGTACAAGTTTGCCGGTGAACCTGATCGATAATCAAACATCATAAGGACGGTTTGAAGAATTCTCTCGGTCATTTCTCAAGAATCACACACCGGACAATGATTGAACGTTCACCCCCCACTTTGATTCGTCTAGATCGAAAGCTTTTAACGCTCGT